TCTGCTCTCTATCTCAGCCACATTCATGCCCCTGGCTAACAAATGCCTTGCTTCTCAAGACATTTGTGAAACTACTTTCATTTTTCCCATCATCAAGTGTTGAGATAATATAGATAGAATAGAAATGCTTCTACATTTCATTGCGTAGTCCCTACAATCTGGCCCAGATGTGATAGCAACTTTAAAACAGGTTTGGGAATAAGCAATAGATATACATTTACAATGAACTTCTATTTATACATATTCTTTCTGGAGATTCCACTGTGGAATTATGAAAGTATACTGCAAATTACTATATTAGTTTTTTTTTCTGCGGTAGGACGGGCATGTTTGTGAGTCTATTTCGTTTACTATAAGTCTTATTCACTTCTTCACTGAAAAAAATTAAGAGCAAAATCGCTTTCGAAAAATTTAATGCTTTATACTCAAATTATATTATCACCTGTAACTAATGTTAACCATGGACAGAAGAATAAAATCAAGCGAAATGTTGCTTCTAAAAAGTTCAAAAAATAAATAAAAACAAGAAACAGGAAAAAAAAAATCACTGGTATTTCACCACAGTGAGATATCACCTCATACCTGTTAAAATGGCTATTACCAAAAAGACAGGAGATAAGTGTGGTGAGGATACGGAGAAAAGGGAGCCCTCATGCACTTTCAAAAACTTAAAATAGATCAGATTACGATCCAACAATTCCATTTCTGGGAATCTATCTGAAGGAAATGAAAACACTATCTCAGAGATAATCTGCACTTTATGTACGTAGCAGTATTATTCACAAGATATGAAAACAACCTGTCTCCATCCATGGATGAATTGATAAAGAAAATGTTACATCCTAAGTGAAATAAGCCAGTCACAAAAAGACAAGTACTATATGATTTTACTTGCACATGGAATCTAAAAAAAGCCACTCATAGAAATAGGGGGCTCCCCAGTTTGCACCAGTGAGAAAGAATTCGCCTGCCAATGCAGGAGACTAGGGTTTGATTGCTGAATTGGGAAGATCCCCTGGAGTAGGAAGCGGCAGCCCACTCCAGTATCCTTGACCAGAAAACTCCATGGACAGAGGAGCATGGTGGGCTCTAGTCCATGGGGATGCGGTGTCAGATACAACTAAGAAACTGAGCACACACACACATAGAAATAAGAGAGTAAACCTGTGGCTGCCAGGGGCTGAGGGGTGAGCGAAACAGGAGATGCTGATCTAAGTGTACAAACTTCCAATTATAAGATGACTGCGTTCTGGGGATCTGATGTACGGCATGGTAATTACGGTAAACAATACTGTATTGTATACCTGAAGGTTGCCAAGGGAACAGATTTTAAATATTCTCACCACAAAAAAGTCATTAAGTGAGGGATGTGTTCACTGATCTTATTATGGTAATCATTTTGCAACATATACGTATGTCAAATCATCACACTGTACAACTTAAATGATGCTACATGTCCATTACACCTCAAAAAACCTGGGGAGAGGGGAAGGTTTATGAATATCTGTTAGAACTCAAAGTTCCAGGACAAAACCTATTTCTAGGTGTCACTATTAAGCCAGGAATCATGGAACAACTTAAAAATTGGCAAAACTCCCCTTAGGGGAAAGGGTAGCATGTTTATGCTAATATCTGGTCCTTTACTAATGGAAATTTCCAGAAAGAGGCATTTCTGATCCCAAAGGTGCACTCAATCTAATCATTAACACTGACCCTGAAGCTAACTTGAACTATCTCTAGGGTATAAGCTAAAGAAGACTGCATGCATACACAGTGTTTACTCTTGTATAGGAAAGTAGGGAGGAGGGGAAGGGGGGTTTCAAAATCCCCACCATCAGAGTTTACATCCCTCAGCTCTTTTGCTATTACTTGACACAGATCTAAGAAAGGAACGCAAGGATGTGATGCAGAGTGAGGTGGTTCTCAAATCTCAGTGAATTTAAGAATTACCTGGAGAGGATGGTAAAAATGTAGGAGCTCAGGCTACAGGGGTTGTGAACTCAACAAGTAGAGCCCAGGAATCTAAACTAGAAATCAAGCACTGGGTGCCTGGACCACACTCCGAGACAAACTGCGCAGGACACCACGACAACTCACCCACCCTCACATCACAGGTGAACAAAGCATTTACCCTAAGACTAGCAGGTCCTCATTAGCAGGGGAGAGAGGCACTGTGGTCAATATGAGTTAACTCTCTATAAGCCTGGCCTGATTCAACCACAAGCGTACAGCCAAGTACCCAGATATTTTGTCTGTGTGATGATGGGATTTAACTAGGAGTTGAATGATGCTGTTTTTCACTTTTCATCCAGATGTTGATTTTCCTGTGAAGGAGTAACTGAGTCCCCATGAGCAGAAGAGTGTTCATTTCCTTTGATTCTACACGCCACCATGGCAGGATGGTCTCAGAACTGAGCTGGAACCGAAAAGGTTTTGCCACTTTTACTAGAGGGGCCTTAGCTGTCAGAACTGCAGGAGAAGCAAAAGTGAACGCAGGAAGCAGAGCACAGGATCTTTACCATCGATTTCTCCCTCTGACCCCCGACTACACTTACCGCACCAAAGTAAGTTATTTCTTGCTTCCGAAGAGTATGCTGAGGATCAAACATACCTGCAGTAGCCCAGGAATGAGCTGCCTTATAGGAAATTCCATATTGCTGGCCATTGGAAAAAGAAGGCAAGGACTCTGATAATCTGTGGGCAAAATCAAACTGTCAGGATATGGTATCTTAAGCCAAGTTTTCCTCAACCCAGGTCATTCAACCTGAAAATGTGACAGGTTTTATAGTTCTATCACCTCATATGGGGTCTGTAATCACTCTTACTTGTTAGATAAATGTAGATAAACTTTTGAGATGAAGATACTTCTGAAAATCCAATTGTGTTAGGTAGGCTCTGACATTAGCCCATCACTACCATAAAAAATTCCTGGACACATGTTTTTAGAATCAGGGGTTACATTATTCTCCTCTCTAGCCCTTTCTTCATTTATATAAATACTAATATTTAAATATAACCTTAACCTGGAGGGGTAGGATGGGAAGGGGGGAGGGAGGCTCAAGAGGAAGGGGACACACACACACACACTCACAAAAAACTGACTGGTGTTGTGTACAGCCTAAACTAACACAATATCATAAGCCAATAATCCTCCAAATAAAAAAATATATATAACCTTAACAACAAATCACACTTACTTCGAAACACCCTGGTATGAACTCATGTCAATTAAATACATATTAGTCCAACTAATATAAGGAGTTTTTCTCAATGACTTCTCATTCCCAGGGTGCCCAATAGAAATAAAAACAAGTTCTGAAAATCCAATTGTGTTAGGTAGGCTCTGACATTAGCCCATCACTACCATAAAAAATTCCTGGACACATGTTTTTAGAATCAGGGGTTACATTATTCTCCTCTCTAGCCCTTTCTTCATTTATATAAATACTAATATTTAAATATAACCTTAACCTGGAGGGGTAGGATGGGAAGGGGGGAGGGAGGCTCAAGAGGAAGGGGACACACACACACACACACACACACTCACAAAAAACTGACTGGTGTTGTGTACAGCCTAAACTAACACAATATCATAAGCCAATAATCCTCCAAATAAAAAAATATATATAACCTTAACAACAAATCACACTTACTTCGAAACACCCTGGTATGAACTCATGTCAATTAAATACATATTAGTCCAACTAATATAAGGAGTTTTTCTCAATGACTTCTCATTCCCAGGGTGCCCAATAGAAATAAAAACAAGGTTTTGTTTTAAGTATCTTTTTTTCTCCTGAGACCCATGCAAGGATGGTGGGCAGGTGACCTTAGCTCCTGTTCCTCATTGAGGAAGCACCTCGGGCCAAGAGGATTTGCTCTTCTCCCTCCCAGACTGAAGATCCCTTCAAGACTTTTTCTTGTGCGGGGAGCTCTCTCTCTCTCTGCACCCTTTCAGGTAGGGGCTTTCATTTATTTTCTTATTTTCTTTCCCTTCCACATTCACAAGTTTCTTGTCTAACCTGGGCAGTCACCTTTCTTCTCCAGCACTCTGAAGAAAGGAAACAGTAAGAAAGTGGCTGGTGTGGGCACCACTGTGCATGACTGTTTAAAAACCACTTATGAAAGTACCTGACCAGGTACAGCACCACCCAAGTGCTTTTTAAATGAAGGGGGGAAGTCCTGGTTTCCAACGCTTTGTTGTGGTTATCTGCCAAACCGGAATGGCATCTTCTCTGGTGAGATGAGAGAATTCACTTCTATAATCCTGGCTGCAAATAGGAGTATAGCCTGAACCTAAGAGGAGTAACTACTCTCCTTTACTGAGTACTTCTCTACATCAGGTACCATGCTAAGCACTTTGCTTACTTTCCACACTGTTGATTGTTTCATTTTTACTTTGTTTTTAATGAGATTCTCCATTATATAATCCCTGCTATCTTGGACTCGTAGGCAGATAACTTGGACAATAGCATACAAAGAGCATCCTCTTACACAGAGTAGGCACTCAGTAAGAATCTGTTGAAGAAACCAATGGATGGAGGAACTGAATTAACTCTCTTCTTGAACAATCAATTCTGTCTTTCTGAATGCGGCCTCAAAGCTTTGCCATTCATATTTCTCAAGCAGCGTCATGTTTAACTGAAACCTTGATCCATGCACTAGTAAGTAGCTTTTTTATCAAGTTTCTATTTTTAGAGATCCTCTTTTCATAGGCAGAAATGACATAAACCAAGATCATCTCCTTAGTTTATTTTTTTCTAGAGTCCTTAGCATGCTACATTAACCTGACAAAGCTTAATCTTGTGTTCATTTCACAATATATTTCATGCAGTTCACAGCTGTGATTGGGTTTACATTGACATTACACGTTTTTTTTTTGCGCTGTGTGAAGAGTATTTTTTTTTGTGGTGTGTGTGTGTGAACTGTGTCCGCTTTTATATGCGTGTGTGCGGTTTTCTCTCTATTAAGTGCAGTCTCTCTTGAAAATGCAAGAAGGATTTTTAGCATAGGAATATGAGGCCCCCGTTTATAGTCCGTCCGCAACCAACCCACGTCTTTAGGTTTCATTATCCTGAGGAATCCTCTTTTACAGAATTGCTTTCAAGTACACTATGTTACTGAAGATTCCAGGCTGAGTCTAGGGGTGGGGCCGACCTTCGGCTCTATGTCCCCACAGACATCTTCCAGGGGCCCAGGGCTTTCCCCAGACCATTCTCAGCATCAGACTCTCTTTGACAACCAACATTCAGCACTAAAGCCACAGAGCAAAGCTATTTGGCATTTTCCAGTGAAGTGCAAGAAATTAAATAAGTTATGTGCTTTATCGCTAAGGTCTAGAATCAAGCAGGGTCACTCTGTCACACGGCAGGAGAAGGTGTGCACGGGTCGTGGCCTCTCCGCAGGGGACGGGCGCAGGGTTCCAACGCGCAGAGGACGTCACCTGGTCACCCCCCCCGGGCGGCGCCTTAAGATGACGTGTTGAGTACGCGCGAGTCTGAGGAGTCAGACCTCTCGTCATAGTCGTCCTCGGTGTAAATGGGCTGCTTTGCCACCATGGGACACCCGTCATCGGGGAGAGCGATCCGAGGGTCTTCGGGGGCGCGGGCGGGCAGGACGGGCGAGCTCCTGAAGACGCTGGTGGAGTTGGTGGGGAAGGGGCTGACGTACTGGGACCGCAGCTGGTACTGCTGCTGCAGCGTCATGGTGTTCCACAGGGTCACGTCGTTGGACAAAAAGGGGCTCGACTGGTTTCTGGCCAGAGTATTCCTCAGCATCAGAGGGTACCGGGGCGGCTGGGGAAACGGGTGCTGCAGGGGCACGGCCAGGGGGTTGGGGACCACGTTGGTGGAGTCGGCAGAAAACCTCAGCGTGTCGGGGACTCTGAAGGCCGACCCCACGGACCACTTGGACGAGGAGAGGGGGTAGGAGCTCAAGGTGTGCTCGAAGAGGTGCCCGTTGGAGGGCAGCACCAGGCCCTCGGGCTCCCCGGCAGAAGTCCGCTCGGCGGCCGAGGAGGACGAGCGGCTGGAGAGCAGGACCTCCACAGCGCTCACCAGGTCACCCCCACAGCCCTTGAGGATCAACTCCAGCACCGCGGGCTTCTGGTGGGGGAATATCTTTTTCAACACTTCTAGGGGCGGTCTGTTGGCTTTCAAGCTGAAGGGCAGAGACACGGTCCCCGAGGGGCCCTCGATCAGGAGGTGGCTCTGCTCCCCGGGGTACTTGGGGCTGTCGGGCCGGCTCTCTGAGCTGGCCCCGTTCTTCTGGACCGTGAACCCCCCTTCGTCCACTGACACGATCTCGGGGCTCTCAGGTGTGAAGCAGCCCTTACTTTTGGCCACGTCTGGGGAGCTCCTCTGGTCTGTGTCTTTGTCGCTGAAAGTCTCAGCATTGTCAGCGGTGCTGCCGTCCCCAAGTCGTTCTTCTGTCAAATCTGAAAAGCAGAGAACAGCTGGTTGAATCCTCTCCTGGTGTGCAAAGAACACGTGCTCAGGAGAGGGCCCTACCTGCCCTTTTTGCAAGGGGAACTGCTTCTCTGTGGGGTATAACATACTGCAAGCTGGAATATTACCCAAACTAGCAAATGGCAAAAAATGAACAAACCCTGTAAGTAAGGATCTAGACACCAGAGTGATTTCTCAGAATGGGCTGTGCAGGAAAGCTTGCCTTCAACACAAGACAGTGAGGAAAGAACCACAACCAAAAACAATGTGGCTATCTAGCAGTAACAGTCTAAATGCGGATCAGACTGGGGATAAACACCATCCAGAGACGAACAGAAAAATGAACTTGGGCTTGTTTTCTAGCTCCTCTTCTCCAAATGAGGGGGCTAGCGCCACCAAAGGACATCAACAGCTGCAATAGCTGGTGCATGACCCATACACCCAAGGGAAATTTTAATATTTTAAAACCATATCCCTAGGCAAATTCTGTGTTATATGTGAACACACACACACATATATATGTGTTGTATGTTATAAGTCATCAGTATGTTTCATCAGGATAGCAGAATAACAAGTCAGTATGATTACCAGAGTGAAAGAAGCCTCCATACATGGAAACCTTTCTTAAAAGGCCACTCGAGATCCCAGAAGACTTGGTTGCCTATAACCCGCACCAGCTGTGAAACCTGGTGTGGGACAGGATGCAGAGGGAGAAACAGATGCCTGGAGAAGGCTTATGAAACTGCGGGGAGGAAGACCTACCAACAACAGTGCGTCCATAACTCCAGGACCTGCAGTGCAAGAAGACCCACCAATGAAACTGTGTGTCCATAACTCCAGGACCTGGGGTGTAAGAAGCGTACAGGATGGACTTCAAGATACCTTCCTGAACTATATTTTAAAAAAAAAAAAAAGAGAGAGAGAAACAAAGCTTCCCAAATAAAGCAGAGCTTTGCTGTGAAGTAAACCAGTTGTAAATTTAACATTTTGGTATAAGACATCGCTCACCCCCTGACGAGGGCTAGTATGACTGTGCTAAAGAGGCAGAAAGGAAGGAAGAAGTAAGAAAGACTGGTTTGGTTGCAGAAGTAAGTTCTAAGAGACCTTTAGAATAAAGAAGCATATTCTTTATTAAGTTACATACAAGTGGATTTTTTATCTTTCTTAAAACACATACTGGCTGTGTCTACTCAGAGCCAATGTAACTGATCTGAAGATGGAAATTATTAATGACCCAATTGTCAGGTTGTAAACAACCGGTTGGCCTGTGCTTTCCACTGCCCCTGCCTGAATAGCCTAATTGTCGCCTCCTCTCTGGGCACACCTGATGATGTGTAGAGAGCCAGCTGGTGAAATTTCATCAAAGCAGCATCTAAAATCCATCTCCTCCTATTTGTTGTTGTTTATTTTAAAAGCCTTAAACAAAGACCCTTTTGTGAGCTTTTTTCTAATATGAGATGTACCTTAATTATAATTGAAAGACAAAACTTCGATTCTTTACAAACCAATAAATATGTCCTAAGCATAAATAAATACTTCAAAAAAAATATCCTTAAACTATATCGGTGAAACTTTCAACTGTAAATCTGATACAAATTCATACCTATCCCAAATTTGCATTTAAACTGCTTCTTTTTCCAATACAAAATATCAGGTGTCAGTGTGGGGACCATCTTCAGTCAACAGGAATGAAGCCATTTTTGCTTTCTGTAACAATTCTGGGATATGCACAAGAGACCTTTTTGCAAGAGAAATATGACATATCCTCTTCAGCAGAATCCTAGGATTGGTGACCCAATTTTCATCTCCTGGGTTAATGTGGTAGTTGTCTTTGATCCCATGGAGAAAAACAGCAACAGAAAAGCTTCCACAGGTTCATATCGTAAGCAGGTAGACCTGTCTAAAATTTCCTGACCCATGATCCTATACCTACCTCTTGGTGTTACTCTATCATTAAACACTTGACAATGAGCAGACAGTGACAGTATGTTAACTCAGCACTGAACTCGGTGCACAATTGGATCTTGGCCTGTGCTCACTGGAGCTTAGGAAAACAAGTCAAATACTCTCCCAAGGGAAATATGGACATAAAGTAAGGCTTTAAACACTGTGCTTCTCTAAACAGTTTTCTTATTTAACTTTCATTATCTATTATTATCAGCATCAAGTACTTTTATCACTGTACCCTGCAAGACACCGAGGGAAGAAAACATCAGCAGATATAAGACTGGCCCCTAACTTGTGGAATTTATTACCAAGTTGGGGAGCTGAGATGCATGTGTGGGGAGAAAGCAAACACAGCCAGGGAAAAATTGCTAAGTGGCAAATATGCACACACGGAACATAAATGTTCACAGCAGCATTATCCACAAGAGACAAAGGTTGGAAGAAACCCAGCATCCATCAATGATGGATGAACAGATAAACAAAATGTGGTCTATGGATACAATCAAATATTATTCAGCGTCAAAAAGGAATGAAATTCTCACATATGCTACAATATGGATGAATCACGAATATATGCTAAGCAAAATAAGGCAGACACAAAAGGAAAACCGTTCTATGATACCATTTATATAACATACCTAGAACAGGCAAACTCATAGGGACAGAAAGGAAAACAGTATTGTCAGGGACTGGAGGAGGAAGTAACAGAGATATATTGTCTAAATGGTATTGAGTTTCAGTTAGGGATGATAAAAAGTTCCAAAAATGTAAAGTGGTGAGGGCTGCACAACATTATGAATGTGTTTAATGTCACTATATTGCATCCCTAAAATGGGTTAAAATAGTAAAATTTATGTTATCTGTATTTTACTACAATGAAAAAGTGAAAGAAATATGATGCACAGCATTACAGCAATATAAGGGATGGTGGGATTGTTTTAAAGCAAGAAACAGCTGGCTCTTCTAGAAAAGAAAGGGTAACAACAAATTTTTTTAAAAAGCTCTAATTTTGATATTTCAATATTTTCAAAAGCATACTTTCAAAAGCAGTGTGTGAACCTAACTTCCCATTTTAAAAGGTAATTTTCCCCCCACCGTGGATCAGTTGCAGACACTAAAGACATTTGGGAAAATGTCTCTCGGTCTATCATCAAGTTCATTCTTCCACAGAATGCTTCAGACTACAGAAGAAGTGACTCAACGGGCAAGTTTACCCAAAGGAGAACTAAGGAATAATGTTCTGGCTAATCTGCCATATCTGCCATTAAGAAAATGTAGTAGTTTTTTCAAGACGGTAAAGGATGTACTATTCCAAACAACTGGATACTGGATGGCAGGATTATAAATCAGACAATACAAAATTTTATTTCTGAACCTATTTTCCTGATCTGCAGAACAGGCCACAGTAGAATCACCTCTGGTTGGCAGCTTGTCCACCAGTCATGAGCCACTGGGCGGCATAAAGTCTCTTCTGCGTTTTCTTGTGCCACCTTTTGTACCTGCCACTGTGACATCCCCAGTGCAGCAAGCACTTGTGGTCACTTCTCAGAGAGTGATGTTGGATTGTACTGATTTGTCCACACTCTCTCTGCAGATTTCTGGGCTGATCTGCCTCTCTAAGGGTTGTGCAGGCTATGGCCAAAAAGTGAGAAAATCTAACATGAAGTCACAGGAATCAAATTTACAAATTCAGAACATTCCAACCAACCAAGTTCAGCCCAGTTTACACCATATCCAGTGGGAAGATAGAAGCTGTTGAAGGAAGCAGTGAGTGGAACACACCTATGCCCTCCACACACCTGAGCACCATGTAAAGTCCTGCTAAGAGGCACTGGGTAAACAATCCCAGTCAACATCCAGGGATGCTGGGGTTTCAAAACTGGGCAAGGGAAGACTAGGCTCTCACCTTATACCAAGAATAATCCTTACCCAGCAATAATGCCTCCAGGGCAGAATATATGATCCCTGCAAATTCATGGTATCAAGTGTTGGTGGTATTGTTATACCTAAACTACAAGTATTATATATTATTCTGTCATAAATACAGACTTTCACAAGTAATTATAGAGGGTGAATCTTGGGCCCAGTGATAAAGTGTAATTTAATAACAGGTGTTTCTTTATATCTCTAGATTTTTTTTTTTCCAAATGAACTTTATAAAATGCTCCTGTTGGTTTAAAATACAAAGACTTTTCAAGATATAGAAATGTGAAACTGCCAAGTAGCAAAATGAAAAATGAAATGCTCTCCAAATGTTTTAACCTCTTTCTTCTTGAAACTGACACCCTAATTCCTAGAACATTAAAGAGTAAGAATATATTTCAATTGATAATATTTTTACTCCTAATATACAGGCGCCAAAAACTGCTAGACTAAAAGTAGAAAGAAATCACTCATCTGCTATTGCAAACCGGTTATTGAAAGTGATACAATTTGCTATTTCTAAAGCTAAACATCTAGACATTTAAAAATCTTCTAGATGTTCACACTTCAATTTCATATTTTTCATGATGCAGAAACACTCACAGCTATCCCTGAAATAAGCTCTTCACAAGGGTAAAGATGTTTTTTGAAAGTAGATACTCAATTAAGAAGGAAATTTTTTCTCTGGAAAACAGTGCTACCAACTTCAACCAACTTCCAAAATATATCTGTGCCATAAGAAGCTACAAGACTTTAAGGACAGAAAATGAACACTGACACAAAAATGACTTCCAATCTAAAATTACAGTTTGCAAATTTTAACTTTCTTTAGTGGATTTTTTTTCAAATGAAAATGCAGCTTTAAAAAAAAAAAACCCATGTATTTATTTCAGAGATTTTGAGAAAATCTACCACACATACTACGAAACAGACACTGTGCTCAAGACACAGAAAAATGAAAAACCCTCCTCACTGAGATGTAGGGGGTTTTAACCCATTCTATCCAATGATATCTACAAAAACAAAATACAGCATCCATCCAAAATTAAAAACAAAAGCACTGGCATAGGGAGTGTTGCTTGCCAGTGCAAAAGTCACTGGATTTAATTTTTTTTCTGTT